ATCTAATAAAAGAGAAACATGCAAATTGACCGCACCTCTGCCACACACCAAGCCATGCCAACCAGCCAATCAGAGCAACTATATGCAAATTAGCCCAACCAAGATAGCGGGGGGCAGCCATGGAGCTGGAGCAAGCAGGAGGCTTGGTTGCCCCAGCAATGGAGGAAGCCAAGCTTCCCACCTGCCCTGGCAGCCTGTGGCCTCCGCTCAAGGCAACAAAGTTTCAATTATAGAAGATAAATAAATCCCAGATACCTGCTTCCAGCCAGCCTCCACTGGGAGTTTGGGTGGCTGGGGGCCGTGGCCAGCCTGCAAACAGCCGTCAGCCCCTCACCAGGCTGGCCACACCCTCATGGGATGAGGGTCCCTGCTGAAGGGCTGTGGCCAGCCTGCAAACAGCCATCAGCCCCTCACCCAGACTGGCCACACCCTCATGGGGTGAGGGTCCCCGCTGGAGGGCTTGGCCAGCCTGAAAACGGCCATCAGCCCCTCACCCAGGCTGGCCAGCCACCCCAGCAAGGACCCCCATCCTGAAGGGGCTGTGGCCAGCCTGCAAACAGCCATCAGCCACTCACCCAGGCTGGCCAGGCACTCCAGCAGGACCCCCCTCCGTGAAGGGGGTGTGGCCAGCCTGAAAACGGCCCTCACCCCCTCACCCTCTCACCCAGGCTGGCCAGGCACCCCAGCAGGACCCCCACCCTGATCCGGGACACCCTTCAGGGCAAACCAGCCGGCTCCCACCCATGCACTAGGCCTCTATCCTATATAACAAAAGGGTACTATGCAAATTGACCCTAACAGCAGAACGACTGGGAATGACTGGTCACTATGACACACACTGACCACCAGGGGGCAGACGCTCAATGCAGGAGCTGCCCCATGGTGGTCAATGTGCTCCTATAGGGGGAGCTCTGCTCAGCCACAAACCAGGCTGACGGCTGCCAGTACAGCGGTGGTGGTGGGAGCCTCTCCCGCCTGCTCAGCAGCGCTAAGGATGTCCAACTGCAGCTTAGGTCTGCTCCCTGCTGGCAAGTGGACATCCCCCGAGGGCTCCCGGGCTGCCCTCCCGGGATGTCTGCCAGCTTAGGCCCAATCCCCCAGGGAGCGGGCCTCACCCAGCAGGTGGTCATCCCCCAAGGGGTCTCAACCTGCAGGAGGGCACAGGCTGGGCTGAGGGATCCCATCCCCCCGAGTGCACAAATGAAGACTAGAGGCACAAAGGAACTGTGGGGCCATGAGGCTGCGGTGGACCCAGGGGTGGGTCTCGGCATGAATGTGCCTCTAGTATATGTATATAAAACCCTAATATGCAAATAGACCAAATGGTGGAATAACTGAACCAGTTGCTATGACATGCCCTGACCACCAGGGGGTGTGCACAGAACATGGCGGGTGTCGGCAGCAGACACCAGAGTGCAGAACATGGCGGGCATCAGCTGCAGCAGGATGGTGGACCAGGTGTGCGGGGGCACCAGACCAAGGCGGGACGCCGGTCGCTGTCATCAGGGCAAGTCTCTGGTGGTTACTGAAAATTCTTTGCTCCCACATGCTGCAGTCCCACCCGGTGCTCACACCAGCTGCCAGAGCTACCGCTTGCACCCACTGCCGGCACTGGCCCCGCTCGCACCCATAGCCGGTGCTTGGCACTGGTCCCTATAGCTCGGTGCTGTCAGCAGGTGTGAGCGGCGGGGCTGCTGGCCCTGATCACCCCTGAGGGCTTCTCCATCTCCCCCTGCTCCTGAGGGGCGATCGGGGCAGCAGCCTGATGGCACCAGCCCCAATCGCTCTGCGCAGTCAGCGGGTGCAAGCGGGGCTGGTGCCGTCAGCGTGTGGGAGCGGCAGCGGCAGGAGCGGGGCTGCTGGCATGTAAGGGAACAGGGCTGCGGCGGGAGGGGCCAGGTGGGGGCACAGAGGATGGGCCGAGACCCACCCCTGGGTCCACCGCAGCCTCATGGCCCCACAGTTCCTTTCAAGGTGTACGAATTTGTGCACTGGGCCCCTAGTTATTAATAACAAACTACAACGTTCACTAATGACTGATTACTATAATCATGTTGCATTCATTTCCCTTACACACCTTACATGCAGGCACACCATTTCTCTCCCCTAATACTCGCAGTGAATATTTTAGCAGCTGATTGCCACATCATTAGTCTCCGATTGACTTGTTTGGTGTGTGCAACAGGAAATACTTCGTTTTCGGAGAACAAGAAAAATAGGCTTATTTGGTTTATGCTAATTAATTTGTGCAGTTATTCAGTGTCTGGTAAGTTAATGTTCAAGAAAAAAATATTAATTTTTATTAAAATGTTCTATTATTTTATGTTAACGATTACTCATTATTTCAGCCCTTTGTATTCAGCATGTCTCTATCAAAATAAACTTATGTTTCTATGAAAATTGAAGCTTTTGTTTTTTTGTGGCTCAGATAAACTTAAGCCTTGTTTATTTGGCTCATGTTAGCCTGAGTTTGACATGCTTGCTCTACATGCTGGAATAATGCATCCCAACCCTAAACCAAGCTCCAATATACAAATTTAATAAATGGCACTCATCCTTCTAATCTCTTCCTATATGTGATTGATCAACATCTCTTGTGGAAATTACTGTTCTGGAAAGCTGGGACAGGAAGGCAGAAAACCTAAATTACCTGAACAGCTTGAACTCCTGGAGTTTATCTCCAATCTACTGAAAATAATCAGCTATCTAGGGCTCCACCTACAGGCACCAAGAAGGAAAGACTACATTAAAGGTAGATGTTATTTATGCATAGTACAGAAAATTTTGTCCCCTTCTTCTGCTTTTGAAAAAGTTTCCCAAATGAAAATAAATATAAGAATTGCTTCTCTTTCAGCCCTAGCTGGTTTGACTCCCTGGATAGAGTGTCGGCCTGCAGATTGAAGAGTCCTGGGTTCCATTCCAGTCAAGGGCATGTACCTCGGTTGCAGGCTCCCGGCCCTGGTCAGGGCATGCAGGAGGCAAACAATCGATGTGTCTCACTCACATCAATGTTTCTCTCTACAACTGATGTGTCTCTCTCACATCAGTGTTTCTCTCTGTCTCTCCCTCTCCCTTCCACTCTCCCTATAAGTCAATGGAAAAAAATATCCTCGGGTGTGGATTTAAAAATAAAACTACTTCTCTTTCTGAGGGATGGACGTTCAAGACCTAGAGATCCAAAATTCTTTACAACAGGGCACTCGGGAACTCAAGGGTTGGGGTGGAGAGCGGCTTCTGAACATGTTATATGAGAAACAGCTGAAGAAAATAGGGGTGCTGACATATGAGGGGACTGAAGGGTGGGAAGCTCCATGGTATCTGACAGGCTAATGGGAGTGAAATTGTCCCAGTAAAGGGTGGAGTTATTGGAGAACAGATTTTATGTCATAAAGAAGGAAATTTTAATAATGAGCACTGTCCATACATAATGAGGATCAGGGTGAAGGATCATCCTGGAGGATTTTAAGCAGGGGCTAGAACAGTGATGGCGAACATTTTGAGCTCGGCGTGTCAGCATTTTGAAAAACCCTAACTTAACTCTGGTGCCGTGTCACATATAGAAATTTTTTGATATTTGCAACCATAGTAAAACAAAGATTTATATTTTTGATATTTATTTTATTTATTTAAATGCCATTTAACAAAGAAAAATCAACCAAAAAAATGAGTTCATGTGTCACCTCTGACACGTGTGTCATAGGTTCGCCATCACTGGGCTAGAAGGTCAAACACTAGGAATATTAGAGACTGATGAGCTGGTTGAGAATTAAGCTGGAATATATTTAGGACTTAGTTCTAAAAGTTTGAGAATGTATATTAAAACCTCTAACAACTGAACAGTCCTCTTGCTAGAAGGCTAATTGGTATCATCCTCAGACTTATTTTTTCCATATTAAGTACCCACATTTTGTGCTTCAAGCCCTTATTCAGTCTCAAAATAATTTTAAGAGAAAAACATCGAAGTCAAAATTTAGGGTGGATTATACCAATGTCAACATTCAAGTTTTAACATTATACTATAGTTATGTAAGATGTTATCACAACTAGAAGCTAGGTGAAGGGTACTCGGAACATCTGCACTATTTTTGCAACTTCCTGTAAATCTATTATAACTCAAAATAAAAAGCTTTTAAAAATAAAATTAAAGGGACCCTTTCCCCCTCCTTACATGGGAGTCCATTCTGTGGTACTCTTTCCCTCTCCCCATGTGGGAGTCTGTACTTGTTCTTCAATAAATCTCCACCCTGGCTATAAAAAATAAAAGTAAATTAAATTAAATTAAAGATACTTCCCCAAGAGGTTCTATGTCACCTCATAGACAACCTAGTTTGATTCACAAGTACAGTGTCATCAGCCACAAATGACTCTGTGCAAGAATGTGCAAGCAGCAGGGCTCATTTCAAAACCATGATCAATTAGCCATTAAGATTTACAATTGTGATTAGGAAAGCCTATGCCATGTTTACAGGTATCTAATTTGGTTACACTGATTATAAATTTTATCTGAGATCACATCAATAAAATCACCTATAGGCAATATATTGTTACAACTGCTTCCTATATGGTACTACACAGGAATGAGGTATATACAGACTTAATTACTATATATTTATCTAACAGAATACAATAATGTCCTTATGTCTTTTTCCTCCACTAACTATGATTTGCAACAAGAACTGGATCATATTCATCTCATTTTATCACCAGAATCTAACCCAACAGACAGTCATAGAATAAATAAGAAATAAACCAGTAATTAAGTTATGTTCTTAGGCTTCTGGGGGTGACTTTTTTTTCTTCTTTTTTTTATTTTTATTGATTTCAGAGAGGAATGAAGTGGGAGAGAGAGATAGAAACATCAATGATGAGAGAGAATCATTGATTGGCTGCCTCTTGCATGCTCCACACTGGGGATCAGGCCCGTAACCCAGGCATGTGCCCCAACCAGGAATCGAACCGTGACCTCCTAATTCATAGGTCAATGCTCAATCATTGAGCCACACTGGCCAGGTTGACTTTTTTTTCTTAGACAAAGAAATCTAAGTCTCTATTTTGGAATCAGGATTAAATATATATTCATATGCGCACACGTGTGCTTGTCTGAAGCACAGGGGTTTAATCTCTAAGATCTTTATAACCACTTGTGTTTTATTTGTTAGTTTCCCAGGATACAGTAACTCAGCTTGATTAGAATAAAACAGAGAGGTCAGGCTTTTCCAAACAGGAAAACCAATATGAACTGCTGAACAGGTCCCCTCAGCTTGCAAGTCCCTGCTAAAATGATCTCTGCCCAATTTCATCAAGTGCCAAGAACAACCAGCTTCTTTCAGAAATCACTGAGACAGCATCATTTTGCATTCTTTGATATTAACCAGTCAAGAAGCATACAGCAATTTCTTTAAATTTTTTCTCTCTATTTATTAAAAGACATGTTTTTTAAATAAATATTAAGAACAACTCAAATCAAACAAAGCAGTGAGACCACAAAGTGCTGCTTCTTTCTGAAAAGAAGTCACATCATTAGCCTGTACGAAAAATTGGCTAGTCACAACCAAAGCCAAGTAGGCTGTCTTAATGATGTGATGGCAGCTACTTACGATCCCAGAGACACCAAGGACTCCACAGGGTCAGTTATCTGAACAGGCTCAGAAGCCGGCTTGATCCTTAGGACCTCTGCAAAGCCATCACCAAACCAGCAAGTGACGTGTGCTGTGTCTACAGTAAAGTAGAAAAGGCGGTCCTGGCAGAGCTTCCGTCGATATGCAGACCGGGGGTCGGCTGACAACACAGCCTCGATGGCGTGCCTTGCTTCCTCTGCTGACTGAAAATACTTAAATGAAGCCCGACCGACATCTGCAATGAGAACAACACAACTTAATGCTCAAAATCACGCAGGTCAAATTTTATTACAGTAAACTTCAATGAGGAGCTTTATTAGTTCCTTGAGTATCACTTGAAATGAAGGCTGTTTGGAAATCTATTCAGTCATTACAGAGAACGTCACCTTCAAGTAGTACTTCGAGTAATATCTTTTCCTTCAGGAAGACTTCAAGTGTCATTAAACTTATGGGTTCCCCAAATTTCTACTTGCTAAACAAAAAATACCATGGTGATATTTTTCCTTAGTCCCTTAATAGGAGAGCTGAGTTTTCATTTTTTGGCAACCTAAATGTCACTTTTCTATGATCAGTGTAGACTTTAATTCAATTCCTTGTCATTTTCTTCTCAGAATAAATGGAGGCATGATCAGGGAAATACGTGACAGGCCCAGCATTCTCAGAAAGCCACAAGAAAGAGCACTAAACCCACACAGGCCCAGAGCACTAGCTGTACGCAAGGGAAGTTGCCTCTGAGAGCAGGTGTCACACAGCTCCACAGTTAGTGACGCCACATTCTCTAAGGAACAGAACATGAGAGAGTCCTTGTGAAAACTGTGGAACAGATACACTGAGAAAGTTCAAAGCCATCACTAAAGAGCAGGCCAACCCATTCCACCCAGGTGTGTATGTCAGGCAAACAGATGTTTACCCTGCCAAATAGCAACACTTCCTGCATTGATGGCACTGTAAAATCTATATATAAAAGGCTAACATGCTAAGTGTCCATCCTCCGTCCAGGTAATGATGTCACGTAGCAATGCCCAGCTTCCTCTCCTTAGTGATGACTAGCCTCCCTGCAGTTTCTGCGGCCCAGGAACACGACTTGCTTTATAGCCAGTGGAAACACTTTACACCGTAACCAAATGTCTGTGAAGCGTTTTCCTGTGCCTCATCTCATTTGATCCTCACAGAAATCCTGGAGTAGGCAGAAAGGAGACTCGGTAGAATCCCATTTTCTTTTCATTAGCTGGAAAACGGAGATTTAGAAAGCTTAGAAACTTGAACCGACTGAAAAGAAGAAATGGTGGACCTTAAAAATGACTTCAGGTTTTCTCATTGTGCAGAATATAGTCAAACACTGCTGCAGTTAAATATTTTACCCTTTGTTCTCCCTGCGTGATCTACAATAATAATCTGCTACGTGTTGATATTTAGTGCTGTGTTGCTGACAATTACCTGAAAGAGAAGTTGGGGTGCTTCACGGGCTGGAAAAAGTTTAGCTACATCTGGAAGCAGGTCTAATTAAGCAAGTTTGTTCTATATCTATAAAAGGCTAAGTTGACTCGCACATGCATAATACATGTAAAGCTCTCGCTGGCGCCAATCGCACACATGTGTTTCCATCTGTCATTGTAGATCATGAATTTGGTTGACATTTCTATTATAGAGAAAGGATAAATAGCAATAATAAAATACTTCTTCTAATTAATTTCCTTTCAATGTGCATGAATTCATGTACCAGGCCACTAGTAGTTAAATAAAAAATTAACAGTGACCTAATTTTTAATAGCTGTAACATAATATATATGTCCAAATGAAGGCAAGACCCTTCCAGAAAGGCATGTGATTTAAACAATGTTGTCCCTATTCAAAATATCATCTAGAGCAGCGGTCGCCAACCTTTCAGACCTCACAGACCCTCAGTGGTCCGCGGCCCACCGGCTGGCAACTGCTGATGTAGAGTGGCTGTGGGTTCCTATCCTTCTGAAAGGAAATTTAATTTTTAGAAAACAGCCAAAATTCACTCTAGACTATCTCCAATAAATACGTTTGTAGGTAAAGCCATGAAGTTCTATTTTTGATCAAAAACAAGGACCAATAACACAGTGCTAAGATTCCCTTGTTGCACGGCTCATAAAATGACTCTAAAACCACTCAAAACAGCAGAGTTCCAAAAACATCCACACACAACAAAGAAAAGAAAAAATAAAAATAAAAATAAATAACGAAACAACAGAAAACACATCACAGACTTCAGTAACAGTGTGTCTGGTAGAAGAAGCTCCAGGCCTTTGCCTGGCTGTTCATTTGGCATAGGTGCCTTCCCTCACTTCCCTTTCTACCTATCCTTCTGGGCTAAGCTCAAATGCCTTTTCCTCTAGGAAGCCTTCCCAGATTGTCTCCTTGCTGCACAAGTCAGAATCCTTCTCTCCCTCATGTTCCCACAGCACTCTATCAGTGCCAACCTCTCTCCCTCCATTCAGTATCTTTCATCTTTTCTAGACTCTGAACTTTCTGAGCTCATTTCTTATTTCTATACAGGCTCTAAAGTCTGCTATCTGTTATAAATCAATCCCTGTTTATAGTTATATTTTGTAATTTCTTTTTAACTATTTTTAATTAAGAAAGTACAACACTGTAGTTTGAAAAAGAGAGAACTTTCCAAAGTAAGAAGCATTCAACAATAACCACAAGACAAAGGGCAAGTGTAAATATAAAGTATCTTCTAGGGAGCACTCCTTTGTTCTACCACAAAAACCCTTTTAAAACTGAACTTCCTCCTCCCCATCAACTGTATCGAGTGATAAAACAACTTTCATAAACAAAACTTCCTAACAAGGAGATCAATTTAAAAAGCAAATGCTTTGTTTAAACATAAAGCCTTAGGAGGAATGAGAAGCACAACCCTCCAGGGGCAGATGAAATCTGACATCTCCTTCATAACTGGCTACTTTCTATTGGAGCCACTGCACCCACCTCTTCACAGCCTGTCCTTCATTCTAGATGGCTGCTTTGGATCTGCTATGGGCTGGAGAAACCAGATAATGTTTTTAAAGAACCACATGTTAAAGAAAACAGGCTCCAAGTAAAAGTCTGGCCTCTTCTGCAATAAAGTGCATGTCTCTAGTGCTAGGACTTTATGTGGACAGTTTCTGTGCTAAGAGATCTTACCCTCAGAAATAGCAAATTTGGCTAAACCTCCTAGTAAAAGCTCCTCTCTCATTCAGAAATAAGAAATGGAAAGTACCTGGTTCACCTTCTGAACTGAGGTGCTCAAGGTCCATCTCTGCGTGAGGAGTAAACCGGACCTGCAAGGTGGCCACAGGGGCCTCTCGCACCCAGGCGGGAACCACACTGTGGTGGGCTGCGTCAGCCATCCGGGGAGGGCAGTGAGGAGGCACGGGCTGCACCTCCCCACTGCCTCCTTGTGGGACCACTGCTTCTTTCCTTCTCCGTGGCCGCTTATCTGTACTCTCCTCTGAAAAGCTCTTCTCCAGGAGACATGGGCCCATCTGCTTCTCCGCCAGACTCAGTGTCTGACCACTTCTGGATTCTAAACCCAAGTCTGCTGTCTCCCTGTGCTTAGGCGAGCGTTGCTGGATTTTGGCTGTGTCTTTGTGTTGCGTGTCATTTTCTCCTGAAGCTCTGTGTTCGGGACATGTAGGCTTCTCCTTAGTGCGACCGCAGGGCTGTGGTTCCTCACACTCAGAGAGCTGTTGCTGAACACGGCTGTCAGTCTTGGCATCAGACCGGGACACAATTTTTGGTTTATTTTGGTTATTCTGTAAATTACACTCCCCTAAAGGCTCAATCAAATTTTGTGGTGAGTCATAATCAGCAATGTAGGGCTTTATGTCCAGTACAGGTGTGCCATGAATCATGTCAATTCCAGAAAGGTATATAGTTCCACCTATAATGTGAAAAATACATCTTAGAAATAACAATGAAGAATAGTGTAAACAACTGAAGAACTGACATCGTCTACTTATGCTTCCCTAAGCTTGCTCACAATTCTCTTATGTACCAGGCTCTCTTACACCTGGTGCTGACATACACTGGAAACCCATCCTCGTCTTTACCTGTCAAACGCCCACTTGCTCTCCAAGGCTCTCACATAACACCTCTTCTACAAAAGCCCTCCTGGCTCTCCCAGACATAAGCACTCTTTCGTGTTCTAGAGGAACTGTATACAAACTTCTCCTAGAGCCCTCTTCATGTGGTCCGGCAATAACCGGCTTAGAGTCTCTCTCCCTAGACCAGCCGTGGGCAAACTACGGCCCGTTTGAAATGAATAAAACTATTGAAAAAAAAGACCGTACCCTTTTATGTAATGATGTTTACTTTGAATTTATATTAGTTCACACAAACACTCCATCCATGCTTTTGTTCCGGCCCTCCGGTCCAGTTTAAGAACCCATTGTGGCCCTCGAGTCAAAAAGTTTGCCCACCCCTGCCCTAGACAGTGAGCAGTTGAGCCCTTCAGCACTGGGTGGGGCTGACTCATCTTTGCATTACTGGGGCTTCTAACTCTCGTCAGGCACATTGGTGTCCTCAATGTATCTCTGTGGGACCAATGAGGGTTTCCATTGTGGCAAACAGACTCTAAGGTGGTCCCCATGAAGCCCACCTCCTGGTGTTCACAGCCGTGTACAATCCTATCCTCTTGAGTGTGACTTGATATCACTCCAGTAACAATATTATGTTAAGATGCCCGTGCTTGCTGGCAGACTCACTCAAGAGACTCTCCATGTGGACTTGATGAAGTAAGCAGCCACGCAGGGATAGCCCAGGTGGCAAGAAACTGCAGGCGGGGTGTCTAGGAGTGGAGGGCAGCCACCAACCAACAACCAGCAAGAAGCTGGGGCCCTCAGTCCCACAACTATAAGGAAGTGAATTCTGCCAACAACCTGAGTGAGCTTGGAAGTGAATTCTTCCAGTCAAGCCTCCAGATAAGAACTCATCCCAGCTGACACCTTAATTGCAGCCTGGTGAGACCCTAAGCTGAGGACCCAGCTCCTGACCCACAAAAACATAATGTTTTAAACACATAATAAATGTGTGTTATTTAAACTGATAAGTGCATAACATGTTATGCAGCAATTGAAATTTAATACTCCATCAAACAATTAAGCAGAACACAAGTCACCATTACCAAATATTAAGAACAGGTCTCTTGTTTTCTCACTTACATAACTGCTCTCCAGATCCTACTACTCGTGCACAGTCTAAGTCTACTAACTGGATCCTTGGGAAATTGGCCAGAAAAACTATGTATGATCACATTGGATTCTGTCTCCGTTTAAGAAAAACATGACTAACAAAGGACTTTGATTTCTAAAATTATGCTTACTGTGAGTGAGCCTGGAACTTTGGAAAGATGCCTTTTGTACTTTCTAAGTGATTATGCCTAACAATGTCTACTGAAGAAAGAAAGGCAATGTAGCATAGGGAAGAGCACATGGGATTTGGAGTCAGACTACCCCCTGGATAGAGGCTATTATTAAAATTATCTAATATCAAAGAACAGCAGTGGCCTCATCCATAAAATGGAGATTGTTACCCTATCAAACCCACAGAGCCACTGTGAGATAACGCACATGAACGCTCTTCATAAACTGTACATACCACACAAACATTAGTAGTCACTATAATGCATATTTAGTAACTATAGTGTTATTGTGCTTGCCTTTCACCTTTCTGATTTGATCTCCCCCGTTAGGGTGTTAAGTTCTTCTGTAGGGCAGGGATTTTTATCTGATCTGTTTATCACTATATCCCCAGCACCTGGAACAATGCCTGGCACATATTCAGTGCTCAGAAAATATGTGTGGGTGTACAAATGATCATAAAATGTTCTAGTACTGCTTACCCAAGTTGGTTAGTCATCACAAATTAATAAAACTCAAGTTGGATCAGCTACAGAATTTTTCCAGAAAACCTATCCAAGGCCTGGTTGAATACAATCCAGCAGAGGAGTTCAAGTTCTGAGAAAGAACAAGCAAAATAACTGCTCTCATCTTTTTAGCACCCAAAAGTCTGAAAAGTATTCTTAGAGCTTTTGTCTTATAAGATCCTCAAAAAAATCATGCAGCGTTCCAGAGAGGCAGGTCCTTCTTCTTTGCCCACTGAACAAATAAGCAGGCTGAGGCCTGGAGCGGTCTTCTGACTTCCAGTCCACCTGCTGCTTCATCTTCTGCCTCTCTAACAAATGTGCTGATTAGGCCAGAAGTTCAAGAAGGGATGCCTGCTTTCCAAATCGTCTGGCTCAGAAACTAGGTTATACATTAACAGGGAGTGAAAACTAATCTGGTATTCTACACAGGGACTTCTACAATCTGACAGATGTTTGACCCTACAGTGTGATTCATCCCAGGCCCTCTGCCACGAATCACAGCTGACAAACACAACTGCAGCACAATGCAAGTTCACTTCCTCCAGGCTGCAGGGAAGAAATGACACACCACCACTCCGTGTGCTGACCACATATGCATGTATGACCAGTTACTGTGTGTTAAATTTTGAAAGCATCCAAATACATTTGTATTTACTGCATTCCAAGTCAGAGAAAATCTGGTTCCTAATTTAATGATTATGAAATCTTAAAAGTTATTTTTAAATAATTTAAACTTGGATAAATGTAACAATATAAATAAGTTCTGAGCATCCTGACAGTTTATGTCAAAATGTTTCTCGACATCACCAGTATTTGTCTGAATAACAGCCAGTGTTGAATATTATGCAGATTTTATAAGACTTCTTTTTAAGAAGAAAAAAAGGTTAAAAGTAAAAACGACATGTGTACCTTCTACCTTTTCCAGCTTGGCCAGGGTCAGTCCTATTGCATTGGGACGATGTGGGCTCCTTGTGGAGAAAACGCCAGTCTTCGCACCATTCAGCCTAGGAGGCTGAACTTTTGCCTTACAGCTCAAATGACCATTTTTGTGAAAAACAAACAAAATCCTATTGAAAAAAACAAACCACTGAGTAAGAAAAAAGCACAAGTTAATTTATCATAATGAGCTGACGGAGGAAAATCTTTAATCCTCACAAATTAAATCAGAAAGAATGCTTTTAATGGTATTAAAATGTAATCCGTGAGAAAAAAAATACCATTCCTGTTTCATGAAGGAAGAGTCTTATCTCTGTATCCTTTGTCCCTACTACAATGACTGGTACACAGTAAGAACTTAATAGATGTTTGTCAAGTGCCCCATAAACAATATTTATGAGGTGTTTGGTATATGCCAGGCAGTATGCTAGACATTTTTATATTCACATCATTTAATCTGCTTAACAATCCTAAGAAGTATAATTTATTCCCCATTTTAAGGATGAGGAAATTGCTGTTCAGAAATGTTAAACAACTTGACTAGGCCTTCCTATACAAGATTAAAAGCAAGAATCTATGAAGAAAAGCAGTTAACAGATTTGAAATCATAAAGTTTATGTGCTACAAAATGTCATCCAAGGAGAAAATGTTTGCTGTGTGTATAATAGACAATGAATAGGTTAATACCTGTGGTATCTAAACTATTCCTACATATCACAAAGGACAACTCAATATAGGAAACGAAACAAAAACCATGAAAAAGTAATTGACAAAAGAAAGAGAAATAGCTAACAACTATATGAAAAGATGTTAAACTTTGTTAATAAAAAAAAAAAATTAAACTAAAAAAACAAAATACTGTTTTTTCCTGTCAGGCAAAAATGTAAAAAATTGGTAACAAATAGTGTTATCAATCGTGTATGGAAAAGGTCATTTTCATTTACCCTTGACGTATACATTGGTTACGCTTTTTAGAGGGCAATTTGGCAGGAGCTCTCCAAAATGATAAGTATGTACACCTTCTAACCCAATACAGCCACTTCCCATATCCTATTCATAAAAATATACAAGTGCCCAAGAATGTGTCTAAGGGGGTTTGTTACAGCATGACTGTAATAGCAAAATAAGTCTCCATTAACAAGGGAACAGTCAAATCATGGTACATCTATATTTTGCACTAACAGGCAGCCATTAAAGCAAAAGAAAGTAAATCTATATGTACTGTCATGATATACACACTAAGTGAAGAAAACATATTCCATTTTTTTTAAAAAAAAACTCACTCTGTATGTATATATTTATGCTTCTATGAGTATCAAAAAAGAAAAAGAAAGAAAAGGCCTGGCAGGATATACACCGATCTGTTAACAGCGATAATCCCTGAAGAGTGTTGGAAGGTGGGGATGAAAAAGAAGAAGAAGAGGAGAATTAAGAAAAAAAAAAATCTATATACTCCTGAGTCCATTTTTTTTATATCAGCAATGTTAACTTAAATAATCCAATCAAGATCATACACACTAGATCATCAGAACACCCATGTTCTTTCTAATCTATCCAAACTAACATGAAAAAGTTAAGTATTTCAGAACAAAAACTTAATTTTAGGTCTACACCAGTAAAATTAGACCACTTCAGACTGCTGATGTTGGGGTGAGGAAGAATGGACAAAAAGAATTCCAAATGACACATATAACACAGGCTTTAATATAGGTAACACTTTATTTTTATTATTATTATTATTATTTATTATTATTATTATTGTAAAAGGTGGAAATTTATTGAGAAATAAGCAGACTCCCACGTGGGGAGGGGGAAAGAGTCCCCAGGTAACATTTTATAAACTATCCAGATTTCTAAGGTCTCTTTTGTCTTCTAAGAAGAGCAGACTTAATTCTTCATGGGTGTAGGGCAGGGTCCAAAAACTTTCAGTAAAAAGTCAGATATCAAATATTTTAGGGTTTGTAGGCCAACCAGTCTCTGCTGTAACTATTCAACTCTGCTGCTGTAGCACATTAACAAATGCATGTGGCTGTTCCTACACACGTATTTACAAAAACAGAAGGTGTGGGATGGATTTGGTCCATGGGCCACAGCTTGCTGACTGCTGGTGCAGAGGACAGAATGACTACCCATAGACAGAACAGAGAGGGTCTACAGATTTCAGCTCAACAGAAAGGTGTTGATCACAATGAGAGCCAACTGCAAAAGGACCGTGCCTCCTCAGTGTATCCCAAGCTTCCCTCAGGGTGTCCAAGTTATGCAGACAATCACATGCACAAATACAGCAGAGGAATCTCATGCAATAGACAGGTTGGTCTGGATGACAGGCTCTAAGGCTGCCTCCGTCAGTGGTTGCATATCAACTGGAATACATTTTACTCAGGGGCAAGCTCTGCCCAACGCTATAAAACAACTTACCAAACATGAGAAAACTCTTCTAAACCCATCAAGGAATGTTCAGGATTATTAAAGATGCTCTTTCTAATTCTCAAACAAGCCCTTGAATGGCGACAAATGGATGGCTGCCTTGGAGTACCATTCTTGGCTGAGAAACAGGATTCCAAATAGCCAATTGGCTCAGTTAAAAGATTCCCTGTAGAAAATAAATTAGGTAAGAAATCATTAGTCAAACGGTGTATGAAAACATGTTTTTTCTAAGGCATTGATTTCATAGTTTTAAAACCTACCAGGTGTTATACAACTACAGAACATGATTCTTACATGCAGGGTAGGAATAAGCACAGGCATGCCATGGGAGTAGTACTGGCATGAAAATCAGAGAAATGGGGTGAAGTGATTCCCTAAGTAATACGGGAGGGTTAGGGTATCGAAGAGAAAAAGGACAAAAACAAGGTAGAGCTATTACATTAGCTGTGTGACCTTGGACAAAATCGCTTACGTCTCTAAATCTGTTTTCTCATCTATAAAACAAGGATAATAACACCTATATCAGAATTATAAGATTATCAAAAGATGTAAAGTACCTAGTACAATAGAAGGTGCTCAGCAAGGAGTGGTTTTTACAGCCCTTGCTCGGGCTTTCCTTCCTTTTAACAATATTACAACAACTATATTAACTGTGTAGTAAGAAAAAGACCAGTAAGTTACTGATGTAGAGGTTTTGTGCACAGTGTTTATTTACAAGTCTTGTGCAGGCAGAAAAGTTCAAATGGTAGGTCCTCTCCACTTCTTGCCTGGACTATTAAATGACTCTTGTTATAATTTGTCTCCCCTCTGCCAGTCCCTCCCCTCCTCAACACACACTACTCCAATCCTCCAGACTCTGGGTTCCCTATGTTATGCTACTAACTTTAACTTTCCATGCTTCCCCTCTGTTAACAGATGGTGCATTTCTTAGCCTGGTGTTCAAGGTTCTCTATAATCTGAATCCAATCAATGGTTCCCCAAACTCCCTGTTCCATCAAATACTTCTGGATTTACAGCTTCCTAATCCAATTCCACGAACCTCTGAGCCACGCTCTTTCCTGCCCGTCAAAATACTAGACTTGTAATCTGGTAGAGTGCAACTTTAAAAAAAAAAAAGAGCACAACCTTTGACCAGATAACAGTACTTTTAAGAAATTTAAGTCAAACATTTAGAGCATACACAAAGATTTTAGTTTCAAGAACTTTCATTTAAAACAATGAAAACTGGCAATACCCTAAATGCCCTATAATTTAATCCCTTAACAAGGGAACTTGTTAAGTTAGAGGACATCTATAAAACAAAATAATTAACCCCTTAAAATTAAAATGATTGACCATGGATTTTTATGAATCTTAAGTTTTTAGGGGTCATATATCAACTCATATTTCCAGGGTGTATGCAGTAAAACAAACATCAAGATATTCACCATGGTTTTCTCTGGGTGGTGGGTAATTTCCTTCCACTTGCATCCTCTAGTTTGTAAAGTTACTATAGTTTGCTCTACATGCAGAGGTGAAAAAAAAAGAAGCAAACTCATTTCATCTTTCCGGGCCCAGTTTAAAACTATTTCCTCCCTCTGGCCTTTCCAGGCTTTCCTCATTGCCTACAGGAAGCTCCTCACTGGCGGCACTAATCCCTAACCCGCACACCACCAGCGGCACACATCCTCTCTCTCCTACATGAACAAAAGCTCCCTACGAGAGCCGTTACTCGGGACGAGGCCAGTTCAACCACCTCCGCAAGACCGGCGGACCTCAGCTACCGAGGAACATGGTGACGTCATCCAGCCCGCCTAGACGGGTCACGTGGTCGACGAAGCACGTGAGCCGTGCCTTCGCAGTCAATGTGACGCACGTCAGCTCAGGGTCTTGCATTTCTCGTCCCTCTCTGCAGTGAAGTGGGCGGCCCACACCTAGGCCTCTTCCGAGGGCGAAATCTCCAGCCTCTCAGAAGTTACCTGTCTCCAGAGCCGGCTTCACGCACCCGCACGGGGTCGCTGTGGGGCGACGCCCTGGTTCCTCCAAGCCGCGCATGGCTACAGGTGACAGAGGCGCCCACTCCACGCGTTCTAGCCTTCCGGTTCCGGTCTGCATGCCTGGCGCCTGCGCAGCAGTCGCACCCGCAAGGTGGTGTCAGTATCCGGCGCAGGCGCTGCGGATGGGGCGCGCGCAATGTCCTCGGGCAGCCCAAAGGTTACCTTTGCTGTGCAGGTGTTTGTCATCCTCTGTTCCTCTCCCGTTACGGGGTTCCTCTCGGAACCGAACCGGTGTCTTAGTTGTCTCGCGCGGACCCATTGCAGTTGCTAGCCCTTTCAGAGCAGTCAGCGACTCCGAGTCCCCGCCCTTCCCAACGGGTGGGGGGAGGGCACAATCAAGAAGATTTAAAAGATGTCTGTCTCCAAATAAGCATCCTACATATCAAGCGCATAACGCTAATATTTAAAGAAAAATAATGTGGGGGCGGGGGGAGAATGTGTATATGCAATGACCAAATAGCAAAATGATCGGATGTTAGGAAATGTTTAAAATTCTCCTTGGGTGGTGGGAATACCCATACATTCATACTTGTATGTATGCTCCCCTCCCATTTTTCCGTAATAAGAATGATTTACCAGAAAGGAACCCAGGTAAACCTTCAAATAAAATGGATGGGAAACCCCATACCGATTAGGGGTTAAGAAGTTGGGACTGTTTTTGTGCTCCCTCCCTCAAGGAAACTGAAGTGAGAATGAAATTGAGAGTCAGCTGGCCATTTGCATTGAAGGGATTAGGGTCGTCGTTTCTGGGCAGCTCTGAGAAGCTGAGGGACAATGAGGACTCTTTTTTAAAATCCCATTCGATGAGCAGTTATCCCTGTAGGATAGCCTATCCTTTTACCCATTTGTAACATCATCTGTTATCTATTTTAAGTTTCTCTGTATGCATTTTTCTGTTTCTGGGAATTTTATCCTGTTGGTTCAGGTGGCGTGGTGGTTGTTGGATGGAGACATATTGCCTACAATATAAATTATTCAAAAGCATACAAGTCCACAGACTTAAAAGCTTAACAACCATTTTTTTTAAAAAGCTGTTTCTAAACCTGTTCATTTGTTATGAACTAATGGGTCACTAGTAGAAAAGAATCAGCAGAAAAAGCCAAGGATTTAAAGAGAACGTGGTTTGAAAAGAAAGGCACTTGACAATTTGGAAAAGAATGCAATTATTCTGTTTCCATTCGGAAACAGCTCTGTGTAGCTGAAGAAACAAGTTTGAGGATGGCTGAGCTATATATACATTGTAAAACTGGGTGGTAATAGCTGTGTTTGCCACTAGATGGTGGTGCTGTGGAAAGTGACAGTCTTCCTTAATATGTGGACAGTCTAGTGTAGAAAATGAGGTATTTATTTGCCTTCCCTGCCTTAGACATCATCTATAATGACATTCACACACAAAAATACATTCATTACCAAGTGTGACAAGTACTGAAATGCAGAGCAGACTTGGAAACACTAATGAAGTAGATTGCTACCTCTTCAAGGTAATGTAACATCTTAATTTCTTAAGTTTTGGTACGTGGACCATGGTTAAAGATGATGTCAACTGGGTGAGAGGTATACAGGAATATCTGTACTATCTTTACTTTTATGTAATTCTAAAGTTGTTCCTCAAAAAGTCATTTAAAGCAAAATAAAAAATATACCTATGTCTGGATGTCATCCTAGGCAGGTGAATAGAAGCCCCAGGGAGGTGTCTGGGCATTGTAATTTCGAAATCTTCCCCAGTGGTTCTTATATACCAAGAGGGTTGAGAACCACTGTTCTACACCATGAATGCTTAAGAGACTAGGATTGTCTTGTTCTTTACTGTTGCCTACGTCTGCATAGAAAGTTTAGGCAATTGTGCCCTTGCTGAACCAAACTTCCCGACCTCTTCCCACCCAGAATAGTTCCTGCTCCTGCCCCCAGGCTCTCGTCATTTTCAGTTAATCCTGACCATTATCACCAAATAAATACTCCTAAAATACTAAAACTGCCACTTCATTGTTCAAAAGTCTTACTTAGTTCCCTATTACCTAACAAGTAAGGGATATACTTCTTAGTTAAGTATTCAAAATTCTGTACACTCTAATAATACAAGATTTTTAGCTACTAAGCTGCTATTCCACAGGTACCCTGCATTAACTGAACGTCTTGAACACTTGAATTCACTCCTCTCTGTAGAACATACCATAATAATGCCGTTATCCTCACCTATAATAGAAATCCTCTCCATCTTTCAAGGCTCCACTCGTGTAATTTTTCAGATCACTTCAGCAAAAGAGACCATTCCCTTTATTGTATCTACTGTTCAAATGGCACTATCATTTACTATTTTCTTTAGTAATTATTTGTTTCCTGTTTTATACCCCCATAAGACTAGATTAAACACCTGATGGACTAAGTGTTATAAGTCTTCTAACCTTCAAAATGCTTACCATGATGTATTCCACACAATTAAGCATGTAATAATGATTTAATGTACAAATACAATATATAAAAAGTAAAAACAAAATTCAAATACACAAGTAAATACATTCAGCACTACAAAATATCTTTGGAGTCCCAGAAAGATAAAATTAACTTAAAAAAACAACTAAAACTTAAATAAAATTTTGATGCTATTGTTACATTATTAGTTGAACAAAGTTTACAAGAAAAGTATATACTCACCCAAATTTTAAGTGCTCAAATTTATTAATTTTTTTGCTCTTAAGAATTAATCAAGCCCTAGCTGGTATGGCTCTGTGGATAGAGCGTCAGCCCATGGACTGAAGAGTCCCAGGTTCAATTCCAGTCCAGGGCACATACTTCAGTTGCAGGCTCAATCCCAGGCCCTGGTCAGGGCGCGTGCGGAAGGCAACCAATCCATGTCTCTCTCTTACATCGATGTTTTTCTCCCTCTATCTCTCCTCCTCCCTTCCACTCTCTCTCTGAAAATCAATGAAAAAATATCCACAGGTGTAAATTAAAAAATAATAAAAAATATTAGGGGAAAGTTAATTATTCAGCCCTCCCCTTTCTCATTTTCGTCTTTCCCCACCACTATCCTCACCCCAATATACATATACATACACACACACATGCGCACACACACACTGTAGGTTGTTGTCTATGTAGTATAGCCTGGAAAACACATTAGTTCTCTCTTTCAGATATGATCTATACATGGAAAAAGAACACACTATTAAAATATGAATGAATATTGTAGAGATTGCTACAATATTTTGAGAAAAGTCACATGTAATAAGATGTGTATTTTGTTGCACAATTGTTATGATTGAGCATTGTTAAAACAAAACATAACTATAGACGTCATTTTCTGGGTGAATCTCTTGAGGAACGTTTGGAATTGCTGGTGTCTCTGGTTCTTGTGCTTTGGGTTTTTCTTTCATTTCTGTAAAATAAAATAAAATATAAAAATAGGTTCAATAAATGGTATTAGGACAATTGACTATCCATTTGAAGAAAAACAAAACTCTACCTCAGACTTTGCACAAAAACAAATTACAGATGAATTAAAGATATAAATATTAAAATACCATAAATGTTGTAGAAACAATAGAATGTTCCTATAATCTTCGGATTATAAAGGCCTTTCTAAGCAGAACACAGACCAGAAACCATAAAGGAAAAGATTGATACATTTGAACAACTAAAAATTTAAATTTAAATGTTGTCATATACAAGACAAAAAGCACTATAAACAAAGTTAAACCACAAACAACAACTGGAAAAAATATGTACAACTTATATGTAGGCAAAGGTTTAATAACTATTATTTAAAGAGTTTTTAATCAACCAAAAAAAGATAGATATCCCAAACTTAAAATAGAACAAGGATTCAAACAGGCAATTCTCAAAAGAAAAAATTCAAATTCATAATAATCATGAAAAGATGTCAAGTAGCATTAGTCATCAAAAAGGTGGAAATTAAAACAATTAGTGTTTTTTTTAACCTAGCAGGTAGGCAAAGATTTTTAAAACATTACTTGGAACCCTACTAATCCCATGGTTTTGTTGCACTCTTCTTTAAGGAGAAACAGTAAATAAACTATCAAAAGGATTTCTTTAGAAAATAATTCCCTGGAGAAAACTATGGTCTGACAGTCTCAGCTCAATTTCTTTTTCTTTCTTTTTTTTTGTTACTCCTCACCCAAGGATATTTTTCCATTGATTTTTAGAGAGAGTGGAAAGGAGGGGGAGAGGCAGAAAGAAAGATCACATCAATTGGTTGCCTCCCACATATTCCCTGACCAGGGCCGGGGATTAAGATGCAACCAGTATGTGCCCTTGACTGGAATCAGACCCTGGACTCTTTAGTCTGCAGGCTGATGCTCTATCCACTGAGCCAAACCAGCTAGGGGAGCCCATTTTCTTATAGTACAATCTACAGCACTGTACAAAGAGAACAGAGATTCTCAGTAATGTCCCTGAGGCAAGTTAAATTGAAGAAAGGTTACATTCTCTTCAAAATTCTATACTTAGGAGAAAGCTTTTCAGACAAATAATAAAATAAAAAGGGTTTTTGATAAACATGATAAATCCTGGTTAACAGGAATCACATTTTACACCTTTGTATCTTCTTCAGTACTGTACACCATGTATTTACTTGCCAGGAAATTTTAATTTTCTAGAAAAACTCTATTCAAGTTTTCTTGTAAATCTAAACTTAATTATCCCTAAAATATTTTGCACACACATTATCCTATATTGGGTTCATTTCTTTTCACTGGCTAAAGCTTCTCAAAGTGGATAGCATGTACAAGTAACTACTATATACACTTATATTTTCAATTATTTTCTTTTAATTCTTGAAAATGTGCCAAACAGACATTGGTTAAATGAAAAACTAGCCAATGACATTAATGATACCCTTTGAGATGACGGGATAACCAAGGATTGTTGAAGAAGGCTATAAATCACCACTCTGAGGGAGATATAACTATTTAATGCTCTAATTATAAATGGAAACAGGTCGTTGACTTGTCCCTATAAGCCACCCCTACCTTGAGAAGAAGTATGAACAGCCTTAGCATCTTCCTGGTGTGCTTTAGGATCCTGGCCTTGGGGCCCATCTGCTTCTTGGTCTGGCTCAGGAAAGCATTCTGTAGGCACATTCTTATTTTCGTATGGCTTAGTAGAGAGGTCTTCAGGCCCTTGTTTTTCTTGGTATATTTCAGGTGCACAATCTTCAGGCTCAGGTGTGTTTTGGTAAATGTGTATTTCAGACGGACATTCCTCATGAGCAGGTGTTTCTTGGGTTGTCTTATAAGAGAGGGCTTTGGGCACAGAATTTCCTTCGTATGCTTTATGAGAAATGTGTTCAGGTTCAGCTGTTTCTTGGTATGCTTTTGTAGAAAGGTCTTTAGGCACAGCTATTTCTTGTTGTATTTTAGGAGGAAAGTTTTCAGTCCCAGCTATTCCTTGACCTGGTTCAGTACTGTCTTCCTTGGGTTCAGCTCTTTTTTGGTATGTTTCAAGAGTGTAGCCTTTAGGCACATCTGGTTTGGGGTATGCTTCAAGAGCGCATCCTTCCATGCCAGCTATGTCTTCATGGGTTTTAGAAGGAAGGGCTTTGACTACAGACGTTTCTTGGCACATGGTAGGAGAGAGGTCTTCAGGTTCAGCCATATCATGGCACATTCTGGAAGAAGGGCCTTGAATTACAGAGATTTCTTGGCACATTTTAGGAGAGAGGTCTTCAGGTTCAGCCATATCTTGGCCTATTTCAGAAGGGTGGTTTTGAACTGTTGTTTCTTGGTACTGAGAAGAATTTTCCTGACATATAATGCTTTCTTGACCTATTGCAGAAAATGTTTTCTCAGGTTCAATTCTCTGTGGGGAGGCTACTGAAGGGAGAGCTTCAGTTACACTCCTAGGTGATTCGTTTTCTTTCTCTGTAGGTGTCAGTGCATTCTCCATCATTTCCTTTTCTAATTGTGACTGAGGCTCCACCTTCAGTTCTGTATTTTGTTTGTTCTTTCTGCCCCTTTGGTTTCCTTTTCCTGTTCTCTGCCGCTTGTATTTTTTCTCTCTGTGGAGAGATCAGAATTAGTGTCAGCAACAGGGCTACAGAATTCAGATACGTGCTCGGTAATAACAGTCCAGGTATCCCACTGCCTTGTTTCATAGCCTTTGAACAAGTCACTTAATCTCTCTGGGCCTAAACCTCCTTGTCTGCCAAATGAAGGAGCAGGGCTAGATGTACTCAGTTGTCAGGAGAGGACTGTCCCTCAAGAACTTTGTGTCTCTGATGCCTTGCTCACCAGGAAGTGTAGTGTGTGTTTGAGAGCATATACTTAATTGGTTATGAAAATGTATAATTATGCTATAAATGAATAGACTGGCATTCTGGTTTTTACACTAGTCTCTTTGGGTTTAGTCTGTTTGAGTTAGGCCCACTATGTCCTGGGTAAACTCATACATTTGCGTTTCTACACCCTCAGTCCAGGCACTGCTCCTTGTTCTGTAATCTGCAGGTGGATGATGTATATGGCTTGCTTATCTAATACAGTGTCTTGAGCGCTCGCTTTGGCAGCACATATACTAAAATTGGAATGATACATAGAAGATAAGAAAAAAAAGTCATATGAGATATATTGTAAGCTGGATCACAAGCTGCAAAAAACATTTCTTGAAGTTAACAAGCCTGGTGGAAAGGCATGAGTGGCCATGTCATGCTTACTCTGAAGTAATAGCTGGATTAAAGATCTAAAGATCAAAGGATGTACATGGAAATTGCAGCCAATGACAAATGGTTGGGTACTGCAAATATAACCAAATACAGATGGCTAATACAGATGGGCTCAGGGGGGAGGAAAAGGTTATAAATAAACACTTGATCATTTTTCTAAACCTATTGAAATTCTGCCCCATGCTACCTGTTCCAGAGAGCCTTCTCTTATAGACCAGAGGGCTGAAATGCTCTCCCTGCTTAACACTCCTTTGTGATTTATTAGGAGGATCACACTTAAGGCCAGGAACAGAGGCTGCCTCAATCCGTAGTTATTTCTGGAGAAACCTTTAAAAAAAATAAACTAGATGTTCTTTAGTGATTAAACCAGTGTCTTTTATATCTTTGTAATGCCCATAGTTCCTTGTACACCTTAAAAATGTACATATACTCTATTTTGTGTGTTTGAAAATTTTCATAATCAAAAAAATTTAAAGATTGCCTTACCAAAACCAGTTTAAAGTCAATATTAAAAAGGTATATATGCAATAGGATAGTCAAAATATTAAAAATTAATTAGAAGAAAAGGGAATCTAAAAATGGTGGTATGGAACCTCAACTTTTTAAAATATAACTCCAAGTAACCAAGGTAACAAGGTAAGTTATAAAATCCTTATTGTCAAATTATCTGAATTCTTCAGGAAACACTTTTTCCCAGATATTAAGTCCTAAATAATTTGTTATATAGATCTCTAAAGGAGGAAATCTGAGTAATATACATGTCCCATATTCTTCCTGGTAGTTTTTCAAAAGATTCTGTCATTTATCAACTATGTGATTATGGGTAAGTCACTTAACCTCTCTCTGCCTTGTTTTCTTCATAGGTTAAATGGAATATATAGTATCTCCCCAACATCATGTGGTTGTTATAAGAATTGCATGTAATAATTTACATGAATGAATTATCCAAATATAAAGTAGCACTCTTGTATTCCTATAGGAAACTTATAGTGCTTCCTATTTGCCAGGCACTGTTTTAAGTAATTTCCTTATCTATATATATAAAAGGCTGATATGCAAAGTGTCCCCACGGGAGTTTGACCGGGAGACCTGATGTCCTATTGCTTACTGTGATGTGTGACCACAAGGGGGCGGCGCAGAACAAAGGAAGGCCCCAGCTGGCAGTTGGCAGCTGGAGAAGGGAGGCCTTGGCTGGCAGCCGGAAGGCCCCAATCGGTCCTGTTCACTGGCCAGGCCTAGGGATCCTACTCGTGCACAAATTTTGTGCACCAAACCTCTAGTTCTCATATAAGGAATAATGATTTCACATCAACTTTTGAGGTGGATACTATTATCTCCATTTTGCAGATGATAAAACTGAGGCCCAGAAAGAGGGAGTAATAATCCAAGATCAAATGCCTAGGAAGTAGGGGAGCCAGGCTTCTAATCTAATCATCATGGCTTTAATAGCCAGGCTCTTAGTCATTACACCTGCTGCTTCTCTCTGGAACTACTAAGGTTTCACTGTGTGGTATGCTGTAGTGAGAACAGTACTCAGTACAAAAATGTGTCACCAGAGCAAGCACAGCCAACTGCTAAGAGGTTCACCAAGGTGTCATGTACTTCAGTGACTTCCTCAGCCTTGGCTCCCCAGTCCAGCAAGCATAGAAACCCAATTCTACCAGCACACTAACACTAGCTCCATTTATCAGGGGCAGAGCTCATCAACCAGCTCAAATAGACTGATATGTAAACCCAAAGGCCCATTTTTAAATGAACAGTGAGAAGTGCAAAGTCACACAGCAAAGAGTATTTGGGCTGATAAATGAATGCACTCTTTCTCTGTAGCAAGTACTTGGGAAGCCAATAAATGATCAGAAGGTTGCTGGGCAAACATAGAATTTAGAGAGCTAATTGGATACTCTTCAACAGAGTCACCTGCCACAGGACCCAAGTATAGATGTTTCTGCTAAAAAATAATAAACACATTCCTGGAAAATCTCACTTTCTGAAAAATCATGCACTAAAAGTAACAGTGGTTATGGGGGGAAATGAGCTGGGGCAAATGACTCAAAACCTATGCAACTTTTTCAACACTAGCAGAACCAATAATTGGTACTTAAGATAACTTGGATAGTCCAGACAGGTAGGTAATCATGACTGGAGGCTGCCTCAGGGGATAATAAAAATGCCCAAAAGCAACCGTGTAAATGCAGGTTTGCAGGTGCCGAGATTATGCAAATAAGGGCGGCACTCTGAGCCAGGGAAGTTGTCATTAGGTTGAGCACAGGACGAAGTGTAACCTGCTACTCTTCTCTTAGGGAACAGCCCTGGATGCAGTCTGAAAAGGATCCTGCCTAAACAGCAGCCACGATAAAGGCTTTTTCCTTTCCTTCTATTCCCAATATTCTAGCTCCTTTGACTAGGAAAAAATCATGAATCAACACAACTTCCACATTATACTGACAACATTCTCCTATTTACCAATCGTATGTGAGGTATTGCAGCAGAAAAGACAAATGCCCTTTTTTAAGAAGAGTGCTTAGATCAGTGGTTCTCAACTGGGGGCCATTTTGCTCCCTCTCTACCTGCCCCAGGAGACATTTGACAATGTTGACATTTTTGGTTGTCATAACTGGGGAGAAAAGAGGATTGCTATTGGCCAGAGGATGCTGCTAAGCATCCTCAATGCACAGGACAGCTTCTCACACTAAGAAGTATCCTGCCCCCAGTGTCAATAGTGCCAAGGGACAAAAATCCTGGCTTCGATAGATGCTGTGCTCGTTGGCTCCCTGCTCTCCCCTTTTCCATCTCCAAGCAAGAAATGTCCCTGTTTTCAATCATATTCTAAATGGGTGCAGTTTGATGCTGCCTAATTTATAATCATGTTCTTGTACTCCCTCCCTGAGAGGACAGGTGACTTAGATGGGAGATTTAAGAATTCCCAAACTATCTTGTCACATCACTCATTTACAGTGTTGGTTTCCTTCCTAGAGAGTTAATCACACTCATTTGATAAGGATTACTAAGGAAGCTTGGAGAACAAGCTCAGAGATTTCCTAACGGTGTCTCTTGCTCCCAACAACAAGATTCTTCTGTGTTTAAATTACCAGAGTGGTTGGATACCAGGCCTCTCAACAGCATAATTCGATTGTCTGGTGTTTTAATTTAAAGAGATGGGAGATAAAATTCTGTTCTCACCACTTGACCAGCTGTGTGACTTTAGACAAGAGATTTAACCCATTGGACACTTGATTTCTTTTTTTTTTTTTTTTTTGTAAATAGGGATAATAGTTCCTGATTTACAGGATAGTTGGAATGATAAAATATAGTGTGTGAAAGTGCTCTTGGCACATAGCATTTGCTGGATAAATATCAGCTCCTTGCCCGGCTGGTGGATTGAGCATCGTCCCATGCTCCAAGAGGTCCCTGGTTTGATTCCCAGTCAGGGCACATGCCCGGGTTGGGAGCTCAATCCCCAATAGGGGACATGCAGGAGGCAGTTGATTGATGTTTCTCTCTCATTGATGTTTCTACCTCCCTCTTCCTTTCCCTCTCTATCTAAAAATCAATAAAAACGTATTTTTAAAAACATATCAGCTCCTTTTTCCCTTATAAGGATACCATACCCAAATTGCCATTGTGAAGTTTGCTTTTCTTGTGCTTCAGCTTTTCTTTTCCTGAGCTGCTCTCTGTTTCGCAAACTCCAACTTCCAATCACTTCTGTAAGATCAAAATGAAAGTTATAGGAGATAGCAACAAATTCTGACATTTATCAGCAAGAGTCCTATAGCCAAGGACTCTATGCTGGATGTCTATCTTCTCTCCTAGCTTTTTGAGGACAAGGACTCTACCTTATTTATCCTTGTACTTCCAAAGAATGTCTAGGAGCAAACAGTAAACCTTTTAAAATTAAAGGGTCAGTTTTTGTATGTAACTGTGCTACCAACCTATTAATTTCTTCAAAATAATTTTCACATATTGTATACACATGAAAGAAAAGAAAAATCAGCCATGTTCTTCCATCTTTAACATTATAACCTGTTTTTATTTTATTCCTCATACCCATCTAGCTCCTATGTTACACAAAACTGTAATGAGAATATACCACAATTTTATCATTTATTAACCAAACATTATATCAGATCATTTTCCGTGATCTGGTCTTCATAATTATAACTTTAATGACTGCATGATACTTAATCAGGTTGATGTGTTCTCATTTACCCAGTCATTCTACTTGTGTTGAACATTTAGGTTGTTGCCAGTTATTTTTTTGCCGTTGTAAATCAAACTATAATAAGCACACTCATGCATATACTCTCTTTTTCCCTTTGGATTTTTTCCATAGGATGGTGTTTCTCCACGTTCTTTGGAATATTAAAGTTATCATCAAAAAAAGGTTCTGTTGCTGTCCAAGCTTGAGGAACATTAAATGGGTCTTTGATGTAGGCTTTCTTAGAACCTGTGGAGTGACAGCAAATTTGCACTGGGAGCCCCAAAAGATAAGAGTGTAGGAATCTAGGAGTTCATCAAATGTCAAAGGGGCCCAAGGCACGAAAACGTTTAAAAGCACTGTCTCAAGGCCTAAATTCTGCAAAACGTTTTGAGAAATGCTGCTTTAGGATAGACCCAATGAGTAAAATTAGTGAACCAAAAGAATAAGCACTACAGTTCCTGCTATCTATTGCTATAAGCTTCCCAAAAGTTATACCAAATTTACATACCATAGATATATATGGATGTGTACTTGTTTAACCACAACCATCCAATATTGGGTATTTTCACTATCTTTCATTTAAATGTATTTCTTATTAATAATTTACTTATTATTTCCTTGTGTTTCTCTAGCTTATTAGAATCCTAGCACTAGAAGGCACTTCATAAAGATATACAACCCTTCTTCCCACCTATGGTTATATGAATGTACTCAATCATGCCCCTTTTTTGCCAGATCCATAAAAAAGAGGAAAATAATCATAGCCCAATTCTTCCCAACAGCTACAAACTCTTTCATTACCTGGAATGTAGTTTTCTTGGTGAGAATCAGGTGTCTGATGCAGTGTCAAACGAGATTGGTTCTTTCCCAAATCCATCTTGCTGCAATACCTTCCTGCTATGTGGTCCGACTTCCTCAAGCTGCCTTTTTAAAAAATTTCAAAAGCAATTAACAGCTTACACACACACACACACAAACTCACTTTTCACTTGACTTCCCGCCTAAAAGTTTTATCTGGTTGGACCACAGCTGCTGGCTACTTCTACTTTCTTTATCACAGTGCACAGGTGTGAGTAGGGGTCATGGCTGCTGCTCTGTCCCCACCCTCTAGCACAGTTACTAGTTATACAGGAGCCCACGGCCCCAGCCTGGCGTGGCACAGCCTCTGGTACAGGAGCCACTTGGTTCTGCATGCCAACAAGTACCTGAGTCTGACGTTCTGTTTTACAGAGGGGGTGGCACAGATAGAACACTAGTCTAGGATTTAACCAGATCCATGTCCTAGAACAAGTCACTCACCCCTTTCTGTGGCTCTCTTTCCTTATTTGCAAAGTGGGTAAAAATAATTCCTGACTTGCGCACCTCACACAGTTTTTGTGAAAGTGAAAATAATAAATGTGAAAATTATGCAGAGTGCCATATGCTTGTGAAATTAATCTTATATTGTTTTTCCCATGTGGCATTTTTTTACCTTAATCTGTTGCAAATTTATGTAAAATGAAGTCTTGCTGTATGTGCTGTAATAGACTTAGATAATAGGCGTAAAGACCTAAACTAGGATAAACAATTCAATCAAAAAATGGGCAAAGGACCTAAATACTAGTATATACTTTTCGAAAGAGGACATACAGAAGGCCAAGAGACATATGAAAACATGCTCAAAGTCACTAATCATCTGAGAGATGCAAATCAAAATGACAATGAGGTACCATCTCACACCTGTCAGAATGGCTATCATCAACAAATCAACAGAGAACCAAGATGGCGGCATAGGTTAACGCCGGAGTTTGCTGCTTTGAACAACTACTTCAAAAGTGAAACCAAAAAACGGAAGGGACATCACCCAGAACCACAGGAACGCTGGCTGAGTGGAAGTCCTACAACTAGGAGGAAAGAGAAACGCATACGGACACTCAGAGGAGGCGCAGTGCTGAAGTCAAATTCTGAGGTGCGGAGTGCGCGGAGCGGGCTGGCGGCGGAGGGCGCGGTCGGCGTTTTCAATCAGGAGGGAGTCGCAGACTCTGAGCTCCAGATCCGGGCGAGTCTTTAGGGACCCAGACTCAAACGGGAGAAGCGGGACTGTCTGGCTTCGGTCAGAGCGAGTGCAGCTTTCTCTCTGAGCTTTGCAGCGGGTGCTGGGACTCAGAGAGGCAGAGCCCCTGGGGACAGGACTGAGAGCCGCCATAACTGCTCTCTCTGGCCCACCCTGTTGATCCTGTGCGACCCGCCCCGCCCAAGCCCTGCACACAGGCATTTGCCAGATAGCCTCAGGCAAACGCCAGATTAGCACCTCCCTAGAGGACAGAAGTTCTCTCATTGCTGACACAGCTGATTCTCACAGCCACTTGGCCTGGAGGTCAAACCCTCCCTGGAATTAGCTACAACAATCAAGATTTAACTATAAGACTGCGAACAAAGACCACTAGGGAGTGCACCAAGGAAGCATAACAAAATGCGGAGACAAAGAAACAGGACAAAATTGTCAATGGAAGATATAGAGTTCAGAACCACACTTTTAAGGTCTCTCAAGAACTGTTTAGAAGCCGCCGATAGAGAACCAAGATGGCGGCATAGGTTAACGCTGGAGTTTGCTGCTTTGAACAACTACTTCAAAAGTGAAACCAAAAAACGGAAGGGACATCACCCAGAACCACAGGAACGCTGGCTGAGTGGAAGTCCTACAACTAGGAGGAATGAGAAACGCATACGGACACTCAGAGGAGGCGCAGTGCTGAAGTCAAATTCTGAGGTGCGGAGTGCGCGGAGCGGGCTGGCGGCCGAGAGCACGGTTGGCGTTTTCAATCGGGAGGGAGTCACAGACTCTGAGCTCCAGATACGGGCGAGTCTTTAGGGACCCAGACTCAAACGGGAGAAGCGGGACTGTCTGGCTTCGGTCAGAGCGAGTGCAGCTTTCTCTCTGAGCTTTGCAGCGGGTGCTGGGACTCAGAGAGGCAGAGCCCCTGGGGACAGGACTGAGAGCCGCCATAACTGCTCTCTCCGGCCCACCCTGTTGATCCTGTGCGACCCGCCCCGCCCAAGCCCTGCACACAGGCATTTGCCGGATAGCCTCAGGCAAACGCCAGATTAGCACCTCCCTAGAGGACAGAAGTTCTCTCACTGCTGACACAGCTGATTCTCATAGCCACTTGGCCTGGAGGTCAAACCCTCCCTGGAATTAGCTACAACAATCAAGATTTAACTATAAGACTGTGAACAAAGACCACTAGGGGGTGCACCAAGGAAGCATAACAAAATGCGGAGACAAAGAAACAGGACAAAATTGTCAATGGAAGATATAGAGTTCAGAACCACACTTTTAAGGTCTCTCAAGAACTGTTTAGAAGCCGTCGATAAACTTAATGAGATCTACAAGAAAACTAATAAGACCCTCGATCTTATATTGGGGAACCAACTAGAAATTAAGCATACACGGACTGAAATAACGAATATTATACAGACTCCCGACAGCAGACCAGAGGAGCGCAAGAATCAAGTCAATGATTTGAAATGCGAGGAAGCAAAAAACACCCAACCGGAAAAGCAAAATGAAAAAAGAATCCAAAAATGCGAGGATAGTGTAAGGAGCCTCTGGGACAGCTTCAAGCGTACCAACATCAGAATTATAGGGGTGCCAGAAGATGAGAGAGAGCAAGATATTGAAAACCTATTTGAAGAAATAATGACAGAAAACTTCCCCCACCTGGTGAAAGAAATGGACTTACAGGTCCAAGAAGCGCGGAGAACCCCAAACAAAAGGAATCCAAAGAGGACCACACCAAGACACATCATAATTAAAATGCCAAGAGCAAAAGATAAAGAGAGAATCTTAAAAACAGCAAGAGAAAGAAACTCAGTTACCTACAAGGGAATACCCATACGACTGTCAGCTGATTTCTCAACAGAAACTTTGCAGGCCAGAAGGGAGTGGCAAGAAATATTCAAAGTGATGAATACCAAGAACCTACAACCAAGATTACTTTATCCAGCAAAGCTATCATTCAGAATTGAAGGTCAGATAAAGAGCTTCACAGATAAGGAAAAGCTAAAGGAGTTCATCACCACCAAACCAGGATTATATGAAATGCTGAAAGGTATCCTTTAAGAAGGGGAAGAGGAAGAAAAAGGTAAAGATACAAATTATGAACAACAAATATGCATCTATCAACAAGTGAATCTAAGAATCAAGTGAATAAATAATCTGATGAACAGAATAAACTGTTGATTATAATAGAATCAGGGACATAGAAAGGGAATGGACTGACTATTCCTGGGGGGGAAAGGGGTGTGGGAGATGCGGGAAGAGACTGGACAAAAATCGTGCACCTATGGATGAGGACAGTGGGTGGGGAGTGAGGGCGGAGGGTGGGGCGGGAACTGGGAGGAGGGGAGTTATGGGGGGAAAAAAAAGAGGAACAAATGTAATAATCTGAACAATAAAGATTTAATTAAAAATAAATAAAAAAAAAAAAAAAAAAAAAAAAAGAAGCCGCCGATAAACTTAATGAGATCTACAAGAAAACTAATGAGACCCTCGATCTTATATTGGGGAACCAACTAGAAATTAAGTATACACGGACTGAAATAACGAATATTATACAGACTCCCGACAGCAGACCAGAGGAGCGCAAGAATCAAGTCAATGATTTGAAATGCGAGGAAGCAAAAAACACCCAACCGGAAAAGCAAAATGAAAAAAGAATCCAAAAATGCGAGGATAGTGTAAGGAGCCTCTGGGACAGCTTCAAGCGTACCAACATCAGAATTATAGGGGTGCCAGAAGATGAGAGAGAACAAGATATTGAAAACCTATTTGAAGAAATAATGACAGAAAACTTCCCCCACCTGGTGAAAGAAATGGACTTACAGGTCCAAGAAGCGCGGAGAACCCCAAACAAAAGGAATCCAAAGAGGACCACACCAAGACACATCATAATTAAAATGCCAAGAGCAAAAGATAAAGAGAGAATCTTAAAAACAGCAAGAGAAAGAAACTCAGTTACCTACAAGGGAATACCCATACGACTGTCAGCTGAGATTTCTCAACAGAAACTTTGCAGGCCAGAAGGGAGTGGCAAGAAATATTCAAAGTGATGAATACCAAGAACCTACAACCAAGATTACTTTATCCAGCAAAGCTATCATTCAGAATTGAAGGTCAGATAAAGAGCTTCACAGATAAGGAAAAGCTAAAGGAGTTCATCACCACCAAACCAGGATTATATGAAATGCTGAAAGGTATCCTTTAAGAAGGGGAAGAGGAAGAAAAAGGTAAAGATACAAATTATGAACAACAAATATGCATCTATCAACAAGTGAATCTAAGAATCAAGTGAATAAATAATCTGATGAACAGAATGAACTGTTGATTATAATAGAATCAGGGACATAGAAAGGGAATGGACTGACTATTCCTGGGGGGGAAAGGGGTGTGGGAGATGCGGGAAGAGACTGGACAAAAATCGTGCACCTATGGATGAGGACAGTGGGTGGGGAGTGAGGGCGGAGGGTGGGGCGGGAACTGGGAGGAGGGGAGTTATGGGGGGAAAAAAAAGAGGAACAAATGTAATAATCTGAACAATAAAGATTTAATTTAAAAACAAACAAACAAACAAAAAAAAAAACGACAAGTGCTGGCAAGAAGGTGGAGAAAAAGGAATCCTCCTGCACTGCTGGTGGAAATAAAGACTGGTGCAGCCACTGTGGAGAACAGTACTAGTATAGAGTTTCCTCAAAATATTAAAAATGGAGCTCCCATTTGACCCAGTAATCCCACTTCTAGGAATATAGCCTAAAAAATCAGAAACACCAATCAGAAAGGATATATGCACCCCTATGTTCATAGCAGCACAATTTACAATAGCTAAGATTTGGAAACAGCCTAAGTGGCCATCAGCAGATGAATGGATTAAAAACCAGTGGTACATCTACACAATGGAATACTATGCTGCTGTAAAAAAGAAGGAACTCTTACCATTTGCAACAGCATGGATGGACCTGGAGAGCATTATGCTAAGCAAAATAAGCCAGTTGGAGAAAGATAAATATCACATGGTCTCACTCATTTGTGGAATATAATGGACAACACAAACTGATAAACAAAAATATATCCAGAGAAGCATCGAAAGACTGTCAAACCTCAGAGGAAAGGCAGGGGAGGGGTGGGTAAGAGATCAACCAAAGGACT